TATTTATATGAGAGGAAGACCAGGGCAGTAACTTGATAGAGAGGTATTTCTGCTTGTAGAAATTGTAATTCGAGATTTGGAATTTTCAGCTTTTATAGACAAATTAAAAGTTGGAAAAATGAATCTATGAAGACATCAACAATGAATTCATGAAGTTATAGGAATAACAAAAATTAATCCAAACAATATTTATAGTATTGGATCTGATGTTTGGATTATACACTTCATGACAAATGATGATATAGAATATTCTGTCTGAAGAAAAGATTCTGTGATTAGAAATAAAGATAATTTAGACATATCCTCATATATATGCAATTGCTGTGATTTTAAAACATGACAATTGCCATGCAAATATATTTTTGCTATACTTAACAAGCTTCGTATTAATACTGATAGTATTGAAAAAAGTAACTATGATTATAATTATCTTATGCAGCAATCTGAAAGTCCTATTACGGAGGAATCTCCTAATTCTCTTAACTCTATTAGATCTTTAGCCAATGAAAATTTTGAATTTACAAAATTGCAGAAAGAACTCATATTAATTGCTGAATAATAGGAAGGAAAGGGAAGCTAAAATATCCGTAGCTTAAGATTAACCCTTAGGCAAGCTATTCAAATGGAGAGAGCAAGAGATGCAAGGGTTAATGCTGTAAATAGTAACAACATATTGGAAATATCTAAAATACTATCAAACATGAGTATAAGAAAACAGAATAGGTTTTAAGTATGTTATAATAAATATATTAATAAAATATATAATAAAATTACTTAACTTCAAACAACATATCACATCTGGCTTATTTTTGCTGTGAAATAATATCTATATTAAATATATAAAATAAAATATAAAAATAAATAAATAAGTAAATAAATCAACAGACTAAAAATAAATATAGAAAAAAAGCAATACCAATAACTAGAAGAGAAATTGCCTCGAAGCATGTAACTAGCATATTCCTAAATTAAAAATATTAACGATTCAATAAATAAAAATTAGTAAATATATGAAAAAGATATGATCAACTAGTAAAGTTAATTCCTGATCTTTAAAAAGTGATACCACATTTAATTATTAGATG